TAAAGGAAGATGTAACAGCTAAGCTTTTTTTTCCCCTTTCTTCAGGGGTATTATTTGCATCAATTTTCTTTAAGCAATTTTCCAAATTTCCATGAATGATGATCATTTTACAAATTAAATTTTGCAGGTGCATAAGAAAAAGGAAGTAACTTTTTTTTTTTTTTGCTGTTACTCATTGACTTAGCAGAGGGATGGTTAAATGTTTCTTATGCACTGTAGGCTGCACAATTAAGCCTGAAATCAAGAGAACTTTATCTGACAACCCTCAGTAATAATTTTGGGGAATGACAGCTTCTGTTTACTTCTAGTTTTTAGTATGTGTTTGCATATATATGTCCACATTAATTACATAGTGATATACATTAATTAACAAAAAAAATACTCAGGCAGGAGTACTAAGGCTTTACGATGCTGGGTGCACTTTACCATCTTTAAATACAATTGGAAAATATAAGGATTGTCTAATGCAACAGAACTCGGGACTAAATAAATGCGTATGACTTCTTACAGCCCCACTTGATTGTTCACATTCATTCTCGCTACACAGATGAGACAGAAGAGCCTAAAACACACTGCCTGTCTGTGCTACAGACTCACACATGGTGCTGCCCATCACTATCCTGTACGGGGAGAAAAGAGCCATCATCGTTTACATCTTCATGCTGCTAAACAGCAGTTTACTTTTACTTTCTGATTTATGCCTTTTTGTTTATTGGTATAAATGAAATTTGACTGCACTGTAAACAAAAACATCTATCATCTTTTTTCCTGATTGGGAGGCAGCGCAAAACAGGAATAAGGTCAAGTATAAAATACCGGCTGACAACCTTGCAGTCACTTCATCTCCGATGTCTTAGTCAAATCAAGTAAATTATCCTTTAATATATCTGTGAACAGAGCCTATAAGCTCTATGAACCTCTAGTCTTCATTCTAGGTTTGGCCATTTGGTCATAACAAATTTGTTTTCTGACCCACTGAGTCAATAAACTTAATTTCAAAATTAATCTTTTCAGGCTTCAAACTCACTGGATCCAATTATGAATCGAATCGTTCCCTTTAAATTTAATATTCCGAAACTTGGTGGTCTAGTGCTTTTTGCCCTATGTGCCTCTCTGGTACTTAACTTTATATTAGTTGGCCTACAAAATTAAATCTCTAAGGAAAGGAGCATCAGAACAGCTCCAAATCTTAAATCTTCAATTACAAACGTTAGTACGAAATGCTCCCTTTTCCTGCAATGCTTCCTTTTAATTGCTATTATTATGCACAACAGGTTATCATTATACAGTAGCTCCTTATGTGTATTTGACTCTGCACACTAGACCAAATGGGAGAAGGAATGCAGATTTGGGTTATTTTTGTTTAGGGGTGGTGGTGGTGGTATTTTCTGTTTTTTTCTAAATCAGATCTAATCTAAATATTTTCAGTTTTGCCTAATGGGTTAAAAACTCCAATTTTTTCTTCATTTATTTCTGGTAATCTAAATAAAATGACACTCTGTGGAGAGACCCATTATAATTTCAAAACACATATATTTCTATTCTTGCAAGGCATGGTTGCTAACATAGATAATTTTAAATGGTCATGACCGCAGGATACCTGGGGCAAAACCTGCATCTCTCAGGAGAAGAGCAACTTGCAATTGCACCAATCTCTTTCCTTACCAACTCCCCATCCCAGCCATGAAGCTCCCTGACAAGCCTGGCCACGTATGGATGCAGAGGGTGCAGGGCCACAGCTTTGAGAGCACGGATGGACCCAGCTCCGCTGGGACAAAAGGCAGGAAGGACTGATGTGCATCTCCCGACTAAACTGCTTGGAGGCCAAGCAAGGTGCCAGCTCACTCCAGTGCATCGCTGCTCTTGCTAAATCTACTGCAGGAGAGGGCTGGGAAGTAGTTTGAGAGGTTGGGAGCAGCCAGTGCCCAGCTAACCTGGGGCTTTTTGGAGTACTTTTGTTGCTCTCCGGGGGCACTTTGAGGTGGTCTCATGCCAAGCCTTCTTCCAGCCGGGAATCTGTGGGCGTGCACCACTTCAGCGTGCATTTGCCATGTGTATGGGAGGAGATTTTGTTACCAGGATGACGACAAAAGTCCTAGTTCTGAACAGTGATTGGCATTCAGGGATGGCTAATTTGCAGCATTACTTAGTGCCGTTTTGAGACATTAGTGATGACTTATTGTCTACTGTTTAAACAGTCCTACCATTTTAAGCAAGCGCTTATTACAGCACTTCTTATCTAGGGGAGGAAGGGAAGGCTGCTTAACACGATCCATTAGGAAATTCAAGCCTTAAATGAAGTGACCACAAAATTCTATCAGCTCCCAGAAATGCAGCAGCTGTACATATTTAACGTAACACTACACTATATTGTGGCAGAGATCTGCTGTTTAAAACATACGTTAAGGTAGCTGAAACGTGACTATTTTACTCCTCTGTTTGAAAAATGAGAAAGTGTAGAGTGGTGTAACTTCTCAAATACATAAATAAGCATTAGACTCATGGAGAAGACAGGTACACTGTTGGACCAGTAATAACAGATTAAAGGTCAGTGGTTAAATCTGAAACTATTGCAGCCTTGTGCATTTGACCTTGTTCCTCAAGCCTCCACTCTACTACTAACAGGTGAAGTGCAAAACAAGAAGCATGAGGGTCTGCTGAACTCTACTGTACCTGTCTTAACTTAACGGCAGTATTTCCTAAATATTCTGTCCCCTGATCATCTAATGCCATAAATACACACGCAAGGGGCAGCTCCAGATTTCCCATGCTGGGTCTGATCCTGTGCAATTCCAGATTCCAGAGGTGCAAAGAGGAAGAAAATCTGACTCACTGGCTTAGCTCTGAAGCGGAGCCAATGCAGCAACCAGCATGTTATCAATTATATGTTATCTCACCATATATTGCCAAGTCCTCCCATATGACATTTTGTTAATTTGCAACCTCTTCAGTGAAGAATAAGGCATTTCACTGGGATATGACGGTATATGAAAAGATTAGGAACATCTATTGTTATTTAGATATATATGAAAATAATTAATACAGAGAGCTTTCTGGATGGAAATATTCAGCATCTTTTAGCTTCCAGAAAAAGTTAACAGAGGTGTGGGAAAGGGAACCAGGAGGAATGAGATGCTCTACTTCATCCTTTCTCATAATACAAGGACAAGGAGACCTCCAACAAAGCACATGGGTAATAAATTGTATGTGAGGTAAAAGAGAACTTTTTCATATATTTCGTGACGGATTGAATTCATGGCCATAAACTATTACCGAATCCTACTTCTCATGGGTTATTAGAAGGTTGAAGTACACCTATGCATTATGTTAACATATATTTATTTTCATTTAGTGAGGGATCTAAACATTCTATTTCAGGATCTAAGCTGCAGCTGAAGGAGAATCCACCATGAACTGGTTGTGGTTTCCCAAATTATCTGGTACTCATCACTGCTGATGAGTCACAGGACCACCCACCTACGATCACTGACAATGCCTCCATTACTATCAACTATTTTACCCGTGTAAATTTGTGACTGAAAGTCACGGGTGCATCAGCTGACAGCTATCTGGACCCTGTGACTTGAGAGTGTCTTACGCATTGCACGGCACATCGAACTGCATGTGCATAAATGTGGATGTGTGCACATACACATACATGCATGGGAACTTACTTTCAAATGAGGAGCATCTAAGGAGCATGCATTTCCCTCCTCTACACTTTTTCTAAATAAAAAGGATGTAAACACCACTCCTTGCAGAAGACTCACGTGACTTTTACTTGCCTGCCTGCTCCAGTAGACATTATGAGCTTGATTCTCCAAGACTGCCACTAAAATTCCACTCTACTGATTTTTGCAACCTAATTCTTCAGGCATTTTTTTCTTCTTTTTTTTTTCCTTTTTTTTTTGGCAAGATGATGTGACCCAAATTTATAAAGGAGGATAATTTGCTATAACATTGCATGCTGAATCTAGGCTCCATATGTACCTATTTGTTATTACCACAGATGTAAAAGACTAGATTTAGAGACCTGAATTCAGTTTGAACTTGACAGGCTTTGAATGTTCTGCAGCATGAGGGGGAATGGCATCATTTAGAAAACCATAATGTAAAGGGTTTTATGAATAATAAATATTTCTAAGACAATAAAGGCTACCCAAAGACTCACACTATTAAGCACCAAAAGGACACAGTTACTTTTTCAACAACTAAAAATGCTGAAGCGTTCCTTCGTTATTTTTCTTTAAATGACATATCGCACATTCTGCTGCAGAAACAGCTGCTAAAGTAACCTAGGGGGCATTTTCAGGCACCGTACTTCAGTGATTACAGCAATTTTTGTAGACATTCAATATTAGGATTGCATTCTAATTTTAGACAGAGTTAAATTTAAATTGAGTAGGAGGGGTTTTCACGCTACTCTAGATGTTCTAACATTGCTTACCCCAACCCAAAACCTGTATAGTCTCTGAATTTTGCAGCAATAATAATTTATTAGTAAGGATACACTTTAAAAGAATGAAACTAGAGCTCACTAGCGGCAGTGTGAAGATGTCTGCTTCTGCTATTGTGATGGGACCCAGACTTAGGACCTAATAGTATTTACCTACCAGCCATGACCCCAATGCCGTGGGACTTAGTGACACTGTCATATGCAATCCTCCTCTACTCTATTTTCATGATTCCTCCTCTTGGTTGTGTATATGCAGCAAGTGTCCTGAGACTCTAAGGCCAAATTGGGACACTTATGTCACCACTTATTAGTATTTAAATTCCCTGACCCTCACAAAACCCAAGCATTGAGCTGAAGGAAACTAAAAGAAACAGGGTTAGTAAAGGGCTGACAGTTCAACAGACAACACAGATGGAAAGCGGAAGGACTAGGTGAATCAGAGAAAACAAAAGAAAAGAGCTTCTATTAGATGCTAAATGACACCCAGGCTGGGCCTGATTAAAACTATGTCTATGTAGGTTACATCTTTCCTTATTTCTCTTACCTTGTTTCTCTTGAAATATGCTCTTCGGCAAGCTGCAAAGCACTTCTCGCTGCAGAAGCATTTCACTTCACTTCCCATACTCAGGGAATAGCGCTTGATTCCAACTTTCTGGCACCAGGCACACATTATTTGTACATTTGACACATCATCTTCTACAATAAAAATATAAGAACAATGTTTACATGAGATACAAACACCTTCCTCAGACATCTGCACACTTACTCTTAGATACAACCAGCACTGGCTCATCTTATTTCCAACCTCCTCACTGCCCGAGAGCAGAACTTTGCCTGCTGTGGTCACCAGCTTCGTCCCCAGGCAGCCAGTGACCTGTGCCAGCCAGGCTTGGCACATTGGCAAAGCTTCTAAGATGGCTGGAAAAGATTATTTGCTTGAAAAATGGTGCGTGGCTGAAAAGCTCTGGAAATCTCAAGAGCTTTTCAGCATGTTTAAGAGTGCACAACTCTTTATTAAACGAGTAAACAAGACTAGGGGCTTAATGAGTATTGCTGCTTTGTTCTTGTTACTTACGGTCCGTTATAGTGAGCCCCAAGATGTTCTGCTCAGCGAGCTAGTGATAAAACACACCCAGAAGGTACTGCACCAAGGCAGGTCTCTTACAAGAACCCTCTTCTAAATAAGAAGGAACATGAAATATCCCTTTTCCACGTTGTTTCGAAACAATGACTAGCGTACAAAATGGAGAGCTTTCGCGTGAGTATAGCAGTCACAGAAACAGACTCGAGCAAGAAGGAAGATGCAGCACGGTGGTAAAGCCTGCCAGGTTACGTTCCAGTCTTATGCTCATCAGCCAAATTTTAATTTGGGCAGAGTTTCTGAGCCTCTTTCAAGCTCTTCTCTAAAGTGTGTTACGGATGTAGCATTTATGCCTTCTGCCATGTAAAAACCCCCCAGGGCTTATTACTAAAGTGCTAGCAATATGCTTGTGTGGTCACCATTCCTACCCTAGCTTCAGAGATGGGGTTAGTGAATAGTTAAGCCTTCTAAACAGATCAAGACAGTAAGTTAGCAGGAATTTTTTTAACTTAAAACTCGGAATTCTTCAGTTATTATGTCCAGTCTATGATACACCATGACCTTTCAGTTACAGACAGCAGCCATTGTCTAACTTCTGGAAAAAAAAAATAATCCCCGAAGACTAATTGTTAAAGCAGTTTCTGGTCCATGAGCTGTGGAGAATTCATAGCTCAGAGACTCTGTCATGCAGCCATCCCATTTCCCTATAAAGGATTTGTTTTTGAAGCTACACTGTCATCGTTCTGTAAAATTATTGGCAAACTAATTTTTAGCAGAGTGATTTGGCTCCTTTCCCCGGCTATCATAACTCAGAACTACGTGCTGCATTTTATTCACCTTAACGGAATAAATATTGCCAGTTTAATAACTTTTTTCCTTCCACAAATTGTGTTATGATTTACAGCTACAAATAAAATTGTACAATGTAAAATAATGACCTTTTAGTTTTAATCAGACTATCTACCTTTAAACCTATATTTAAGGCTAAGTTATAACACAGATTTGTGTTTAATGTATTTTATCACTTACCCTTTAGAGTGCGATTTGCCAATGTTATAAATGCTTTCATATACTGAACATCCAGGGAAATCAAAACAATTCGGTCAAAATTATCACTAGCTATCTATAGGGTCAAGAAGCCTGCCCTTGAGCTGGCTGTAATCTCAGCCAGATGCACAGGAACGCAGGGTGCTGTTACGGTGGTGTGGCACAGGGCTGTCACAGCCCTCTCTCCGGACCTTGGTGAGGATCCTAACTACACCAGCATAGCCCAAGAGCTCTTCCCAACATTTTTATCCCGAGCCATCCAAAGTACTAGGATTTTACAAAGGTGTCCCAATTCAGCTACTTTTGCACCATAATAAACCAATTCCTCACAGACTGAACTTGCCCCTTTGAATATATCAGGACGATCCTGTGAACCAAGGGAAAAAGATGGCAACCTCTTGTTTCAGATAACAGCAACATATATCCTCCCACTGATAGCAAGTATTTAATTTGTGGAAAACAGATCTCCCAGTGATGCCTTTCTAATAGCCTTCATTTCTGGTAAAAGTAACTCTCATAAACAAAAAAAGAAAATTATAGAGCTGAAGGAGAGTTCACCGGCAAAGCAGGTGCTGGACTAGCTCTTTTAGAAGTAGTTGGCTTGTCTGGGGCACAGTTTTTAAAGAGAAGCACAGAGCTCCACCACAGGGATTCTCAAGGGCTTTCATGCATGACTTAATAGGGGAAGCACCTCAGCTACCACTCAACTCCTGTTCACTGACACACATGAACCATCTCCCACGGGTGATCAGAAAAACCACACAATTGTAATTTTCAATTACACAGCATCCCAGCAGCAGCAACAACTGTTCACACGGAAAAGCTGCGTTACACACCTCTCTGCAGGAGGTGATGCACGACAGTAAGGCTCAATCCACCTTCTGCTGCCAAAGACTTCCTCTAAGATAGATCCTGGCAAGAAGAGGAGAGGGAGAGGCATCTACTCTCTCAAGTTGTTGTCTTCCTGTGCCCTGACCAGCAGAACTTCACCACCTCACGGGGAATCCTTTGAAGCAGCATTGCTTCACTTGTGGTCCATGGATCTGACAGTCAATAAAACAGCAGAAAATGGTCTACGAACAACTACTTCCAGCCACTGCCTGCATTTCCAGGAAGAGACAGCTGATATCCAGGAGGCATCATCAATATTAATCAAAATGCTCATCATTTTGAAAGAAGGAAGGGAGAAAGGGAGGGAGTCTGCTTATATACAAAGAACTTCAATTATTTCTCTCATCTACTCCCTTCTCCTCCCAGTCATCAAAGAATGGTCACATACAATATAATCATTTTAATAGTAACAGTAATAAAAAAACTAGATGCCTTTTCCATTTAATAAACTCAGGAACACTGCTACAAAATGATTAGCTGAGTACGGTCATGAGAAGCAGCCAGAAAACAGCAGTACCTAAGAAAGGGGTTTGGAGCACACACTTGCTGGAACAGTGACCAAAAAAGAGGACTGCAACATTAACAGACAAGTAGTAGTCCATATATTTCTACCATTAAAATCCACAGCAGTGGGAAGCAATGACCTAAACCCAAACTATTAAGATTACATGAAATAAGAAAAGCCAAAGTCTCCTGATTTAACTGCTGTCTTTTGCTAAACACAAACTGGAATAATCCAAAGCCAGTAACCAAAATCTTCCATTCAAGATGAGATTCCTCTCACTTTTTCACAGACTTCTGTTTCCTAAGGCCAAATTCTTTAAAAATCACTTTACAAGACTTTTGCCCTTCTTCCAGGAAAATGTATCAAATCCTTGTCCCTAGAGCACTCAGCAAGAAGAATCTGCTGCAACGAGAACAGAGAAGCAGGGAATTTCAAATCCAGTGGTTTGAGCCTGCTTATCTGACTCGAATCTTTTTCGTATTAGGTTCACGCTAAGAAAGCTTCTCTACAATAATTACACTGGTATACTACATCGGCAATGTTCTTCTTTGCTTACAGACAAACTTTTGCTGGAAGTCTGGCTTAGCTTATCCGCTTGAGTAACATGAGCTCATCCTGACAGCATGCCCACGTCCATCATGTGAGCTCTCGCTGGAGCAGTTCTTCTGATGAAGATAATTCACCATCACTTTCAGGACTCACATAGCTAGGCTGACACATGTTTGTAAAGTACGAAAATAACATTTGCAAGTCCTGGTACAAATCATATTGAAGTCAAAGAAAATATTTTTTAACAACTGTATTTTTTTTTGCCATCTGGGCTTGCAACCTTATGACCTGTTCTTGCAATGTGCTTAGCATGTTCTCAGATCTGTCGCACTTATGACAGGTAGCGTGGGTCTTCATACAGGTAAGACAAAGAGGAGCTGGCACAGAGACAACTGAATAGTAATAGGAGAGTTTTCAGCAGAACATCCGTACTGCTATCTTCCATAATTACACCAGGTAATAGAAAAGACATACTCCTTCCACACACGGTACAAGATGTGAATTTCTAGCCTCTGCTTTTCAGAGTTGTCAAGTCTTCATAGGGAGAACTATTGTGGGACTTCCAATACTGTGTTTTTCTGCCCCTGGGTTGTGTCATTACAGGTGGAAGAAGCACTCCCTGCACCCGCCACACAGATACTATTCAGATACATCTCCTTGTGGTTTTCAGCCTGTGTATTTTTCATAATGAACAATGCAATAAACATGGAGTGTTTGCAGTGTTAAATCATGTTCCCAAAGGGAGCAGTTTGTATAACAAGATAAAATTATCACATTATAATAACTAAATATGCATCAGTCTAAAGCATGCTTCAATTAATCATCAAAAGTTTGCACCACCTCTTTAGGTCTTAATTAAGCAGAATGTTTGGGGTTTTTTTTCCTTTCAAACCAGCGTGAAGGAACTGCAGCAAATTGTTCCTCTTAAACCCAATGAGCAGCAGTTTAGATTAATCGATCTTCTATGGAGCCATAATTTGGAGAAGTGGCAGGAAAAGAAGGAAGGCAACGAGTACAGAAGAGTAAATCCATCCTGTACAGCACTGTCCCCTTATCTAAGCATCTAAATCAGCATAGCCTACAGTGTTTAGGAGGATGATCCTAAAATCCCTACAATTCTGGAGTTAAATCCTGATCAGGTTACTAACTTGTAGGCTGCAACATTCTACTAATACTGTTTTGAATTAACTGATAGGTATTTTCAATTTTAACTCCAGTTTCAAGAATTTGTGTAAAACTAAATGCAGCTACAGCTCTAATCCTGCAGATGATGATGATCCCTAGGCAGGTATTCTAAAATCATACTTTCCATGTTTTCTTGCAAGAAATTCAATCAACTCTTCTGGCAAGAAGAAAATATCACTCCTGAAGGTGTCCAATCGCAGTACTGAAGAAAACTTGTTGTGCAGAAGGAAGACCACGAGGGCACAGGGTTTGTAATTGAGATCTCAAAGGGTACGTCCCCTGGACCACATAAGCCTATGTGAAACCTGTACCTTGGCCGTGGTTGTATCTGTGCTCTGACACAGGAAATGTTTTGGCACCCCATCCCTCCTCGGTGTCTCTCCACTGCCCATCTCTTCCTGGCATGTGAGTTTCCTTCCACCACAGCTATGGGCAGCC